TTTACACATGATATCTATAAATAAACCACAGATTTGAGTTTGTAAGAACTACATTCTCGCATGAAACACTGTTAAAATTTCATTTCGTGACATATTAAACGCAATATTTATAATATTAGCTGGGCTTTCTCATCCGCCATTACCATTTGCTTATTGATGTGAAATGAATTCTGGGAGAAAAAAAATAAAAATATTAATTCTCAAAACACTTCAAACGAACTTTATTTCTTATTGTCAAGGTCAGATATATGTAATAATCTCGCTGGTAAAGTGAATAAAAAACAATGTTACTATATTGTGATCAATATCACGTTTGCACTGGTTCGGTTCAGCACTCGAGCGACTCGTATTGAACCGAATTGAACCGTTTGCTCGGGAACTATTTGATCACACGTGTTCACAAGCACATTCAGCAATATGCATTTAGTGTATAATTAGTGTATAAATGCGTGTGGCCAAGCAGTATAACGAAATAGTAATGAATCATATACAAAAAGGAATCAATTTTAGGCGGATTCGATTCTTTACTGTTCACTAAGTAGCCGATTTATAGAACCGAACGGACACGACTCGACATGCAGGCAACGTCATTAACTTATTGTAACTTAACTGCATTAATGAATTCTCTATTTCAGCACAACACTGAAATGAAGGCGAAGTCACCATGAAAAGTTAAACGTTTACCGTTAAGGTAAGCTCTGGTCTTCACATAATCATTTTGACTAAGCTATCATTATGGTAACATTTTTCAACTGTAAGTTAGTTATTTAAACTAAACTCATAATGAAATGAGTCTTAACTGTTTTATTAAATGGAGCTGAAAATTAAATGCAGTTGAATTATTTTAAGCTAAGGTTAATATTAACAAAATACATATTTATTGTCTATTTCTCAATAATGTTAATGAGCTTGATGTATAGTGTGTTATTAATTGTACATTAAATTTTTGCTGTTCAGGTGTACCTGAGGTGAGTGTACGTTCTGAGTACACAGATATAAGCCAAAGTCATGTTCACTATATATATATATATATATATCCTATTCTAAGAGAAATTGATGGGGTCAGTGAATGATTTGTGTACAAATGTATTTTAACCCCATACAGATTGGTATCGTTGTACCATAGATTTAGATTAATTAATTTTAAGTCTTATTTTACTCTTATTATATTTATCTGTTTTTCAGCTACAGTAATTGATGTTAAAAAACTGATGCTACCAATCACTCCTCACTTGATTGTTCAAGGTAATGTTGATGTCTTCCTCATTTTTATTAGATTTTGAAATGTCAAGTTGTTCACAGATTTGTTGTGAGGAGTTTCATGTAAAACCTCTTTTTCTTCTTCCAGCAGTTCCTAAGATAAAAAAAAATCTGGTGTTAAAACACCAGTCTTTGTTTATTAGCAATTTTACTGGGCGTATGGAACTGGAAACTGTAAGTTTAGTTCAATATGTTATTTTATGCTATTCATTTTTGTTTTAACATGGATTGCATGGTGAAGCTATCGTTTTATAGTGGGAAAATTGTAAAAGAGAATCACTGAATACAATGGCATAATGATTCTGCTTGTTCACAGAAGGTACTTGATTTAGTTTTCCTCAAGCGACACATCAGTTTTTATGACTATTGCTTGACACTTGAATTGAAGGGACAGTTCACCCAAAAATGAAAATAATAGCATCTTTGGCATCCTCCACTTGTTTCAAAATAGTTATATATTTATTTTGTTCCATTGAACACAAACTCGTATTTTTTAAAGAAATTTGGTTCAAATATGGATGTCAATAGTTACTGGTTACTAACATTCTTCAAAATATCTGCTTTAGTGTTTAACAGAAATTCAAACTAGTTTAAAACACGTGGAGTAAATAGTGGCAAAATAGTAAACTATTCCTTTAAATATTTTATTCTGAGACTTTTATTTATATGTGTCTTGTCTTTTGTCATATTGTCCTTCTAGCCCAAATTGTGATGGACCTGGAATGCGACACCAGTTACTCTTAAGACAAGAACCGAATAAAGCACAGATGTGGAGGGATTTGCAGCCAAACTAACTGGAGGGAAGGAACCTTTAGGTAAAATCACCTACTTTATTTAGATCTGAAGTATTTTATTTGACAGAGATTTATTGTTTTAATTCTAATTTAAAGCAAACAAGGTTGAGCACCCCTGGTCTAAAAGCTCAAAAATGCTGTTTCCGTGATAAGGTTAAATGTAATTCAGAAATAGATTCATTAGGATCAATGCTTAAAGTAAACATTTTCTTCTCTCTGTAGACCAAACATGTTTACTATCCCTCACATTTTAATAAATTGTTTCTGTTTTTGTTTCTTACAGTGTGGGTGAACATACTACCTGGATGTCCAACAAAGGCTGCACAAGAGCTCATTTGATAGCACATATTCTGTCCTGTCTACATCTCTGATGACCTGGAAGTGCTTCGACATCAGTGAGTAATACATCTTTATATTGTCATGCATACAGGATTTCTGTAAGCTTAGATTTAATGTTAGTTTGTAATCAGCAGTGACTGTTTTAAAAAATTAAGTATTTAAATTATTCTCAACATTTTACTGATGCTGTGCACAGTAACGTTATGATGATTTAGTTTGAGGAAATGTCACTGGAGATGTGTTCGTATAAAAAATAAATCAATAAATAAATTGTATGAAATGACTCGATAAAATGTTTATTTGTCTCGCTTACATGCCATCACTGCTGCATATTGAAATACCGTAATACGAATTGACAGCAGAATATTACCACAAATATTTCATGAAGTAGGCTAGACTGCTCTTTAGTTCTCTACTCAACTTTAACACATTTCCTCGTGTCGCTGAGCCTCTCTGCAGATTTTGCCAAAAATGAATGCTAAGTGATTACTTTGTTTTATGCAAACCAAATATCAGTAACTTATCATTAGCATTATTTAAAAAAAAATCACCCACAGCTTTCATGTTCTCTAACGCAATCTTGTCTGTAAGTTAGAAGTGGATTTATACGTGTCTAAAAGTTTATTTATAATTTATAAAAGCCTAAAAGTATTTAATTAACATTAGTCACGTTAAATATGTAGCCTCTTAAAGTGAGAATGAACTGTGTTCACCCCTCTTAAGTCCGTGGAAGCACTAGTTGTGTGATCATAGAATCAGATATTCGAGCTATACAGAGTCGGACATTAAGTTAAGATGAGACTTTATTTTTTACACACCTGTGTGGACACCTGACTAGCGATCTTCAAGAACAATGCCCGCTGATCTTTTCCCCATTAACGTTAGTGTAATTGTGAATTGACAACAAATTGTATTTCACCAACAAAAACAATTAAAAAACTGTTTTTTATATATATATATATATATATATATATATATATATATATATATATATATATATATATATATATATATATATATATATATACCCAGCTATATATATATTTAAACAGCAGTGCAGTGTTTCGTTTCTGAATGAATTAAATGGTTTGAGGGATGATTAGTTTTTACTTCAGTGATTGATTTTGCTTGTCATTTTTGCAGGATCATCATCATGCTGCTGCCCTTTTTCACTGTCCCTTTCCACATCATTTGGCCTTCATCATTTCCTGTCTTGTAGCAGTATTTTCACCTGTTTTTAAAATTGTAATAATTTTTGATGCATTAATTGTTGACTGGTTTTAATGATCAATTGTTTATTAGTGTTCTGTTGCTCTGTTATATTGAATTACTGCTACTGTTTTAGCATGGTTTACACAATAAACCTTTATTGTGAAGTTAAAGTTTTAGTTTCTTTATTTTTCTTGTACGTCTTGAACAGTTAGAACAACACTTGTGCAATTTTTGAAAATTTTTTACCCATTATAAAGTAGCACTGTTAAATATAATAAAATAACATTTAATAACTGTAAAATACTATACAGTAATAATGAAAGTAACGTTAAGATACCGTAGTTCTTCATGGTAAAAATGTACAATAAAATACTGTTTTCAGTTTTGCAGTATGTGCACCACTACTGTAATTAGTGTTACAGTAAAAATCAACAACAGTAAAATGATGTATTACATTTTACAGTAAATGTAATACTAATGTAATTAGTATAACAGTAATGTTACTGTTTTATGAAATACAGCAGCTACTGGATAATTGTTGCCAGTAACTTACTGTTAATTTAACAAGAAATCGTTTACAGTGCAGCGTCTATGGACAGAGTAAATTTGATGTTAATCTCTCTTCTGGCTGCCTTTTTAGTCTCACAGTATTTCTTCCACATTCTGACAATCTTGAGAACACAATTGTTGATTGTTTCTTTTATTTCAGCAAATAGGATTGTAAAAAAAAAATATTTTATTGTACTCTGCACTCTCAGAAATAAAGGTACAGGAACTGTCAGTGGGGCAGTACCTTTTCAAAGGGTATATCTGTACCTGAAGGGTCAATTATGATACTTCAAAGGTAATTTTTAGGTACATTTGGGCACAAATATGCACATTTGAGGTACCACTGTGGACTTTTTGGGTACAAATATGTATCTTTTGAAAGGGTACTACCCCAGTGACAGCTCCTGTACCTTTATTACTGAGTGAGTTATTTCTTTATTTCAGGGTGTGTACTAAGTGTACCCAATGACGACTACTATGGATGCCAATGGCTGCTTTCCGCCCACATTCTTCATTAATTTCGTTCAACAGAAGAAAAAAATAAAAACCACAAAAATAATGAGGATATTGTCATGTTTGGGTAAACTATCTTTTTAATAAATCACCAAAAAGTTACCTTGATTTGCCAGAGAGTGTAAATTTACAACAACTTTTTATCTTTAGAACTGTCCAGAAAGAAAAGTTATAAAATTATTTTTCATCGCGATCAAAATCTGCACTCTCCTGTGTGACCTGTGGAGCCTGTCCTGCTCACACACACACTCCCATCTCTCACCATTGTCTCCTGAATGACTTCAACACGGGCACGCCCACTGCTCTGCCGTGCGTACGCATGCGCGCTAAGCCGTGTGCCATTTCCTGGATTCCTTGACAGGCCGAAATCAGGGAGCAAGAGAGCAGTCGGAGTGAATTCGTGTCGACTGTCCAGAGTCCGCGAATTCAAGTCCGTCCAGCGTTCAACAACTAGCGAACATCTTTACGAAGATTTGACCGAGAAAGCGGAGCATCTGTTCAGGTAAAGGAGGCCCGTGTCATGCCTTTTTCCGTCAGCAGGGAGCGGACTCAACCGGCATCTTGAGAAAGGCCTTCCTGATCCTCAAATTTAACAGAGCACGAACATTTGTGTAACTTCAGTCGCGCTAAAATAGCGTTTGCGATTATATAAGGTTATACAGACTTTTAGCTTTATATCCGGGGTCGTTTTTTCTGCTTTCTGTGTGATTGTACTGGAATTGATGTGTTTTTCGCGTTAGCTTTCGGCTAATGTAGCAGGCAGACAGCTCGCGAACAGAAGCCCACGGCATCAGATATTGATCTTCTGCTTCATCCACGCCCTGAAAATCGGGAACTGACAGCCGTCATCCTGTTTTGCTGGTTGAAGAGGACTCTTTTTGGCTTTAGTGTGTGAATTCAAACGAAAAACTGTGTAGGTGTAGTTGAGGACATGGACTGACGGACGTGATTTAGCCCCGGGCTGTCAGTTTATCAGTGCTGGTTTGGGTAGTTTAGAGCAAATTTAAAGCTATTTACAAGAAATTCCAGAGCGCATACTCGGAAAAAGAAGTAATTAGGAGGGAATTAAAGTTGAGAGACATAAGTTTAATCAAAATGTGAAGTTCTAATATTTAATCATTTCTTTTCTGCTAAATAAAAAAGCAAAAACATAAATCTTGGCGTGTCACTAAAGTAGGATCGCGTTAAAAACAGGACTGGATCAGCTTGTGTCAGTATATCTTTCCCGCCTATTGTTCATATTCGACCCACTCCAATCCCATTCCAGGTTTTGCATTTGCTTGTTTAGAAACATTAATAGTCATGGTATTATTATTTGTGTGAACAGTTGTTTTATTATTTCAGTTTTTGTTTAATATAGAAAGGACACAGCATATGACTATATCGTAAAACAAAACCGAATCCCCACCCAGGTAGACTTGTTCTGTAATAACAGAAGTTAAATATAAGATTGCTGTAAAAAATGTATAAATAATAAAAAAGAATAATGTTAAAATAAATAAAGAGTAGAAGTTAAGTAACTTACAAATAAAAAACTATGACATCATGAGATGCATAAAGTCAGGCCCGGCTCTAACCAATTTGGCGGCCTAGGCAAGATTTCAGGTGGCGCCCTGTCACATCGCAGTAAAATTCCACTGCTAGTGTGTACATATAGTCATAAGAAACTAAATAGCTTTTTGATCGACTACTACAAGCTGGGAAAACGTCAGATAAATATGCCAAGCAATCAACAATATTGCTGAATATCTAATATTTACACATTTGCTTGAGGAAGGAATGATGGGGGTAGTTACATTACTATTACTATTTTCCATAACATCTATGCCCTTCCATAACATTAGCTGATGTTAAAACTAACAGATAGCACTATAGCTATTTATTGATTAGCAACCATGTTATGCCATACCTGTCAACAAATAGCTTCAAATAAATACATAGTAAATATTAGAAAATATTGACAATAAAGTAAAAGGTTTAGCCTATTAAAATCAATGGCCTATACTGAAATTAAATAAAGCTATAAAATCTCCTTCACTTTTGATTGTATTTGCATATTGATTAAAGTTACTAGTTATTTAGTGAAGAGCTGCAAATGAATCTCTCATTGTGTTTTGTTTGATAACAGAGGTGTTACTTTAAGAATGCACTGATCTATAATGAAAGCATTTGTCTTCTTTAGTAACTGTTTGTGCTCATTTAAGAGAAAAATTATTTGTGTTTAAAATAAAACACGCCGAACGAACATGTTTACACATTATTAAGGGTATTTGTCTGTTTAAACGCACACCCGAATCACCAAAGTATCCTAAACTTTCGCTCCTTTACAAATGGCGTGTAGAGAAGCTGATCTGGGAACAGTTTATCATACGGAGTGCGTCAATAAGTTAGCATGCATACAGATGCACTGAATGTGGTTGCGACAATCGATACCAGCTTTAATGAAAAGAAGTGAATGCAGAATCTTTATATTAATTTTATCATGCTTTCAAGCCAAAATAAAGCGAAAGCATGGCTAATTATCTTCACCAGCTCTTGCAATTCTTTCACATTTGAGATCGGCTCTGTATTGATGCTACTTTCACTTTTCATATAAAGATTAAACGGGGGAAATATGGAAAAAATTAAAGTGATAGTGGGCAAAAACGGGAGGGTTGACAGGTATGTGTCATGCTAATTGGTAATGGTGTATCAATCATCGCTTGGATACAGCAAAATAATCATCTTTATCGTAACATTATTCTGTCGTTGTCAAGTTTTTCTTCCTCTTCTTTTTCTTTTTTGCCTCCCCTGTGCACCAGGCAGTTTGGCATTTTGGCATGTTAAGCTTGTTGACCGATCAAAAAAACAAACCGTGTAGCACAGTGGTGTCAAAGTCAATTCCTGGAGGGCCGGAGCCCTGCAGAGTTTAGTTCCAACCCTGCTTCAACACACCTATTTGGAGGTTTCAAACGAGCCTGAAGGACTCAATTAGTTTGATCAGGTGTGTTTAATTAGGGTTGAAACTAAACTGTGCAGAGCTGCGGCCCTCCAGGAACTGGCTTTGACACCTGTGTTGTAGCAGGTAAAGTCTAATTATTCGAATGGGGGTGTCTTAGGTGATTAGGCTACCGTTATATTATCATTATTATTTAATACTACTACTACTTAGTAGGCTTTGCACTTTGCAGTTAAATTAATGTGGGGGTATTATTTTATTAGTCATATACCAACTAGTTTTAAGAGTAGTTAAAGTTGCACTTTTTTTTTCTTCCCCCATTTCTGGCGCCCCCCTGGATGTACAGCACCCTTACCATTTGCCTATACTGCCTATGCCACTGGCCGGCCCTGCATAAAGTACATATAAATAGAAAAGCTGTACATTAGAGGGTAAAAACAAAAGATTTGACAATATCAAAAGCTATAATCCAGGACTTTACAGTTTTTGACTGAGCTCCATGTATGCTTCCTGTTGAAAGTTCCATACAAATAATGTCCAGCAAAGATAGACCGTATTGATCTACTCATTATATGAGGGGGGATCCAGCGGCAGACCAACATTTTCTTAGCAGCTGTGAAGGAAGCTTAGAGTAAGTTATTTTGTTGCATTGAGAGTGATATGTTAGAAAAATCATTCAGGAATCATCTTTTCCTAACAAAAATGAACTATCATGTGCCAGCTGAGATGAAAAAGAATGAAGTGCAGGACATTTCCAATAATAATGAAAATAAGTGCCAACTGTCCTCTGTGAACCACAATTTCTATCTGGGTCAGGTGTTAAATTTGTTTTAAGGGGGGATAAATAGAGTCTATGCAATTGTTTCCAATGTATCATTTGACGATTTGTATTTTTTGAGGAGGATGGAATAGTGTCCCAAATTTGGTCAGAAAAGAAAGGTTGTATATATCCACTGATATCCTTAGACCAGACAGTAGTGATGGTGTTATGTAGAAAATATTACTATTATATTATTACTGGCATAGCAATCAAACATGAGTTTTGCGACTTTTTCAGGCAGAGGTGCAAATTCTTTGAAGATAATGTCACTTCACCAGTTTTTGTTGGAACCCATCACCTGCCACGCATGGAACCGGGACAGGACCCGTAAGATGCTTTTCATTCCTTTTATACTTTTATAATTTTTTTAAATTGATGTCTAAACCCATGTTGTGCTTTTTATTGACAGAAATTGCTATCAGCCCAAACAACCACGAAGTCCATATATACAAGAAAAGTGGAAATCAGTGGGTGAAAGTTCATGAATTAAAAGAACACAATGGGCACATCACAGGTACAGATCCCTGCAAATCTGACTGTAGAAGCATATCATGCTTGCTTTGTTAATATCAAATGTTTTGTTGAACTATACTGGAATTTGGTACCAATTGATACTGATATTTTAAAAACGTCCATTTCCCATTAACATTTAAGTGCTGTTGAGCACGTTCTTAAACGGCGCTGATTTGCCGTTGTGTTCACATGCTCAACAGAAATGACTGTAATTGGCCGTGAAGGTCATCAGTGCACTGAACTCCCTGCTGTTTACTGAGTATAAACACAGATACAAGGACATTCATCAGCAGATCACTTGTTTATCAGCTTATAGACAAACCAACTGATCGAGGTGACTTTGAAATGCTCCAGTGTCCCTGTGTCTGTGGTTACACTCAGTAAACAGCAGTGAGTTCGGTGAACCGATGACCTTCACAGCCAATTACAGTCATTTCTGTTGAGCATGTGAACACAACGGCAAATCAGTAGTGTTTAGGATTGTGCTTAACAGTGATTAAATGGGAAATTGACGTTTTTAAAATTTCAGTATCGATTAGTACTAAATTCCAGTATTGTGAAAACGCTACCAGCAAACAGTTTTTGTTTTTATTTCTAGGCATTGACTGGGCTCCTAAAAGTGATCGTATTGTGACCTGTGGAGCGGACCGAAATGCTTATGTATGGAGTCAAAAGGACGGCGTGTGGAAACCCACCCTTGTTATTCTCAGGATCAACCGTGCTGCCACGTTTGTGAAATGGTCTCCTCTGGAGAACAAATTTGCAGTGGGGAGTGGAGCTCGACTCATATCCGTTTGCTACTTTGAGTCTGAAAATGATTGGTTGGTCTCAGTTAAAATCTTGTGCCACTGCACTTTTAAAAAATGTAATTCTTCAGGTATTAATTATTATTTTTAATTTTAGGTGGGTTAGTAAACACATCAAAAAGCCCATCCGTTCAACTGTCCTCAGTTTAGACTGGCATCCAAATAATGTGCTTCTGGCAGCTGGGTCATGTGACTTCAAATGCAGGTGAGACTTTGTCTACATGCAATGTCTTTAAGTAATGAAATATTATTATTATTAGTGCTCATATGTGTTTGTTTGTTTCTTAGGGTGTTCTCTGCATACATCAAGGAGGTGGATGAGAAACCAGCTCCAACCCCGTGGGGTTCCAAAATGCCCTTTGGGCAGGTGATGACAGAGTTTGGTGGGGCGGGAAGTGGAGGTTGGGTTCACAGCGTCTGTTTCTCTGCCAGTGGAAACAGATTGGCTTGGGTCAGCCATGACAGTACTGTCACTGTAGTGGACCCCACAATAAGCTCAACGTGAGTATCCTAGATAGTCGGTGTGTTAAGTATGATTAAACCATTTTGTATTTGCTGGCAGACCTTTTGTAAAAGATCATGGTCAATCATGAATAACTGCACGCATCTCTTTTGCAGGCCGAGTCAGCTGAAAACCGAATTCCTTGCTCTTCTGAGTGTAACTTTTGTTTCTGAGAACAACATTGTGGCAGCGGTAAGAACCTTTACATTTCTTGCTCAGTTCGCTTCTCTTGGGGAGTTTGGTCTGGACTAAAAAGAAAATATATACACACATTTAGTCTAGGTCATTTCAGTCTAAACCTAAGTATACAAAGCAAATAAAGTGCTCATAGTATGTGGTTGCATATTATGTTGTTGTTTTAAGTATTGGAGAGTTCATAAAGAGCTTTGTAAAGTTGTAAAGAATGCAATATTTGATACATAAACAAAGATGCACTGCATAGAAAGAGATTTCTGGGGTGTATATTGAGAAAAAACTGACTGATCAGGCATGCTAGAGCATTTTGTTTTTGGGTTGCATCTTGGGACATCATGTCCTGTTTTTGGTTTGTGTAGATGTCTTTTGTTACTTCAGTCAAATCACTTGGAAGCGGACCAAAACCCACCATTCCAGCAGTTGTCATTTATTCATTCATTGGTTTGGTGCGGTGTTCACACTTATTTCACCTAACTGCGTAAACACAGCAATCCTGCTTTCTACAGCTGTTTACACTGCTGCATTTCCACTGAAAATGCCATTTTAGTATAAAAGTACTCCTCATCCACACTGGCATTTTTACTGAAAAACAGTCTCTGTCTACATTATAAAGCCTAAATCGTATGATATCTGACTATTCACCCTCACTGGCCATGCACATATTTTTCTGGCATCCATACCGGTTGTGTAATAGCCATGTGAGACTGACTTGATGAATCAGAGAACAATACATAATAGTCCAGAAGACCAGTCAGAAATGTAACATTTCCAAACTAAAATGGGGACTTCAGTGTTTTCAAAATGCTTTATTTTTAAAGGTCAAAGTAGTGTGGACACCAATGCAAAACCTTAACAAAACGTTGATCCTAAAACTAAAACGCACTAAATTGTGTAAATTGCTCCTAAACCTAACTGAACCAGCTAAATGAATAACCGAACCTTGCCATGGATCTAATCTAGACTTTTTATTTTCCCCATCAGGGTCACGACTGCTGCCCTATGCTGTTCAGTTTTGATGATGGTGGAACCTTGACCTTCACCTCCAAGTTGGACATTCCAAAGCAAAGCATCCAGCGCAACATTTCTGCCATGGAGCGCTTTCGTAACATGGACAAGAGGGCCACCACTGAGGACCGCAATAGCACCCTAGAAACCCTGCATCAGAACAGCATCACGTAGGCCAAAATCGTAGCAACTTTATATACATATGTACTAGACATGGTATAAGATTCTGGCGTTATGATAACCTTGGATAAAAATATCACGGTTTCACGATATTGCGATTACTACTCTAAAATATATTTCTTTTAAATGTCTGGGTAAAAAACGAAAACATTTTTCCATTTGAACACAATGTATCTTATTTTGAGAAACATTTGCAATGTTTTGGAGCAGTAAACTTTATCATTCAAATGAATCATCAACTTCTGCTGCCTTCATTAGTTTTCTTCAAAATTTAAAATGGCATCTTTGGAGATATTCTCTGCTGGAGATACTCGTCATAGGAAACCTAAAAAATGTTTACATCGGGAACGCTATAGCAGAAAATTTTGGTTTTAAAAACCTTTTAAAACCTTTTCCAAATCGCGGTAAACCTTGAAAAAGGTTATCGTCCCATGCCTAATATATACACACATTAGCATACAAATGTTTGAGCAATGACAGTAATGAACAAATATTTTTAAATAAATGAAGATGGAAACCTTCTATCAAACTGTTGAAATACTTCACAAAATGAAAGTTTTATTTCACAAGATGACAGCGATAAATATAGTTCTATGAAAAGGCAATAAAATAGCATGACGGAGCTCACAAGGATGAAATGCAGCCAATTATAAACCATTTTGCTTGTAAGAGCACAAACAGTAGCCTGTAATAAATGTTGTTGGATGCGTATATTACATCTAATATATCACAGTTATTATTTGCAGAATGAACAGTCCCTAAAGTTCTTCTTAATGTTTCAAACTTATGAACTACAAATTACGGTAACGTTATTTTGAAGGTTTATTTCAGTATTAGTTGACTGTCTGCTTAATATCTGCAGATACTGCTCCTTCAACAGACATTTAAACTGACTATAAGAAACTTCGCAAGTACAAGTCAACTTACAGTAACCCTATCCTAACAGTCTACTCATAATCTAATGAGAATTAGTTGGCATGTAGATGCAATGTAACTTAAATTCAACAAACGGACCATCAAAATAAAGTGTGACTCGAATTACTTTTTAATTGTTTCTTATTATAATTTTTGTGTAATATGCACAGTATTAAATACAAATTTTCTTTGCAGCCAAGTGTCTATATATGAAGGAGACAAAAGAGATTGTCGCAAATTCTGCACTACAGGAATTGACGGAGCAATGACCATATGGGATTTCAAGGTTTGCATCAGTTATTTTAATTTTACATGACCCCAAACATACTTCCTTTTTTATTCTTTGAGTCAACGAAATCAATCATATTTACTTTAATCTTTCCACAGACCTTAGAGTCTTCAATCCAGGGCCTGCGGATCATGTAAAACTGACACTAGCATGACAGCACAAGCAATGCAGCTTGAAGACTAACAAGGAGATTTCCGATAACACTTCTGAAAGTTTTTAAATAAAAAAAAAGCACTGAGCTGTGGTGTGAACTGTTGTGACACTTTTAAAAAAATGGAAAACACTAATGGAATAAGGGGGTTAGGATCTTTGTTTTCTTTTTGTTGTTGGTTTTTTTCCTTTCTTTTTTTTTTTTTTTAAGGAAAAAAAAATCTATGCCAAAGCTGGCACCCCAGCAGTGTGTGATGGTTGATTAAGATGTATCGGCTCTCCAGGGAAACCGGAGAGAAGTTAAATTAAAAGGAGAATTTTATGTAAATGGTCTGCTAGAAATAAATGACGTATACTACACACCATTTGGGAGTGTCGTCTCATTTTCTTTTCCGATTCAGTGATTAGTGAAGTTTATTCATAAATGAATTTCGAGAGGATCACGTGCTTATGATTGACCACGGCTGCTCCCGCATTAGCTAACACATGATTCAGCTATTAGGTGATTTCCAAGTCACCATAAACAACCAAATTTCCATATCACAGCCATCTTTGTTTTGAAGAATCTCCTCCCCCTCCTCCCCTACTCCTCTTCCTTTCCTAGATCGGGTGGCACGATGGCCAAGAGGTTAGCACTGTTGCATCAGCAAGAATGTCGCTGGTTCAAGTCCATACCAAGCCAGTTGGCGTTTCTGTGTCGAGTTCTCTCCGTGCTTGCGTGGGTTTCCTCCCACCATCCTAAGATATGCGAATTACGTTAATTAACTAATCTAAATTGGCACTGCAGATGTGCTCCTAGTCAGCAATTATCTCTCCATAGCAATTTCGAATTGGTCATTAGCTATAAACAACGGGATTTCATGAGATCTACCTAAGCTCAAACTACCCTCTCGTCCTGGAATCGGTAGGGAGCCCCGTGCTTGAGGATCTTATGAGTTCAGGGCTCTCTCTCGGGAAAGCATGCCAAACAAGCTTTATAATCAATCATCAACTAAGTGTGAACTCTTGAAACTAACTTTTAACCATGCTAACAGGAAACCACTATTTGTAGTTTGCAACCTTGGGCCTGGTTTCACAGACAGGGCTTACATTAAGCCTGAATTAGGCTATAGATTACTAGACACATTAAACTAATACTTTAGGGGAAAAAAACAATACTAGTGTCGAACTTGTGACAAAATGAAGTATCGTAAGTTGAGACATCTCCACTTTACATTTCAGCTTAGAACTAGGCTTAATCCTTGCCAGTGAAACTGGGGGCTTATGATTTATTATGGTGGCTTGAGAAAGCCAACATACTGTTATACTACATAAACTTCTTCTTCTTCTGTCTACTTCTTAGACTGTAGTAAGACCACATCTCCTCCTAGACTGCTCATACTACAACCACCAAACTAACTCCAAGCCTCTAAACTGTACTGAATTAAGTTGCTTTATTTTTTCCAACTGATTCCACTTACGGTTTTCCAAAAACTGATTTGGAAAATAAGGAAAAATCCCATTGTCCCAATTTTGTGACCTCATAACTTTGCGCCAGACTGTTATACAGACTTAAAGTTAGGCTCATTTAACTCAGACTACCAATCTGCCAATCACTGATCACCTTTCAACGTGCTAGCCACACTCTAGCAACCACTTACGACACCCTAGCAACTCTCCAATAGACTTCAATTGTAAAAAAAACTGCCATTGACTTTACATTGAACATACTAACAAACCAATCCATGCTAACAATATACTAATTCATACAAGCAACATGTTAATTCATACTAAATTCATGCTTACATGCTAATTTATGCTAGAAGCATGCTAATTTATATTAGAACCATGGTATTAATAATAATAATAATAACATATTTTATTTATAACGTGCTTTTCTAAACCCAAAGCGCTTACAAAAAAAAGTACAAACAATAGTAAACATTGAGTAAACAATGAAAAATACAATAAAGAAACAAAATAAGAATAAAAGATAACACAAATTAAAAACAGACCTAAAAAGATGAGTTTTAAGTAGCTTTTTAAATGTCTAATGAACTGGCATTCCTAATGTTAGTGGAAAGAGCATTGCACAGTTTAGGAGCACGGAAAGAGAATGCCCTACTTCCCATGGTGCTGAGTTTGCAGTGAGGCTGAAACAGCGTAGGACCCTAGGCAGAGCGTAGACAGCGAGAGGCAGAGGAAACAGAGATCAGGTCACAAATGTAACCTGGAGCAGAACCATGAACCGCTTTATATGTTAAAATCAATGTCTTAAAATCAATACGAGATTCGATGGGAAGCCAGTGAAGCTGTTGGAGTATAGGAGTGATGTGCGACCGAGACGATGTATGTGTCAACACACGTGCAGCAGAATTTTGGATGTATTGCAAAATCTTGAAAGAATTTGTTGGTAACCCTCCAAACAGGGAATTGCAAAAATCCTAAGAGAGACACGATAAAAGCATGGACGAGACTTTCAGCATCAGGCCTCGAGAGGAAAAGACGTAAGCGGGCTATATTACGAAGAAGATAAAAAGCCGTTTTAGTTACACGTTTAAAATGAGGCTTCAGACTAAGCTGGGAGTCCAGGAGACCACCAAGATTACACACCTGCTGAGATGGTGATAAGACAGACCCATCAACCGTTAACTCAAATTCATTACACCTTTTGACGTTAGAAGGAGTGCCAACCAATAAAATCTCTGTTTTTGAACTATTCAGTTTAAGATTATTATGTTGCATCCAAGCTTAAATTTCAGTTAAGCAAGCGTTAAGCGATGACATTGATGCCGATGAATTGGGAGAAGTGTTAATATAGAACTGTGTGTCATCGGCAAAACAATATGTAATTCCAAATTTTTGCAGAATTTTACCAAGAGGCAACATTCATTCATTAATTTTCTTGTCGGCTTAGTTCCTTTATTAATCCGGGGTCGCCACAGCGGAATGAACCACCAACTTATCCAGCAAGTTTTTTTACGCAGTGGATGCCCTTCCAGCCGCAACCCATCTCTGGGGAAACATCCACACACACATTCACACACACACTCATACACTACGGACAATATAGCCTACCCAATTCACCTGTACAGCATGTCTTTGGACTGTGGAAAAACCGGAGTACCCGGAGGAGACCCACGCGAAGGCAGGGAGAACATGCAAACTCCACACAGAAACGCCAACTGAGCCGAGGTTCGAACCAGCGACCTTCTTGCTGTGAGCACTACCTACTGCGCCACTGCCTCACCCCCAAGAGGCAACATATAAATACTAAATAGAAATGGACCAGGTACTGACCCTTGGGGGACACCATGACATAAAGGGACAGTACGCGATCTGTAACCGCCCATATAGATAAACTGTGAACATCCAGAAAGATAGGCTTTAAACCAATTTAGCACAATCCCATCCACACCAACCCAGTTATGAAGTCTGTCCAAAAGTATGCTGTGAGAAATTGTATCAAAAGCTGCGGTTAAGTCTAAAAGCACTAAAATACCACAAGCCCCCGATTCAGCAATCAGGAGGTCATTTACAACCTTAACTAAAGCAGTTTCTGAGCTATGTCATGATCGAAATAAATGAAATGCATCAAACAAAGCGTTTGCTTGCAGGTGTTCTTGCAGTTGCCCCACCACCACCCGCTATATGCTTTATGTAAGTAACTGCTTAGCAGCCAATAAGAACACTTTAGCAACTGCCTAACAACACCTTATAAACCAATCAAAACACCTTAGCAACCACATAGCAACATCTTTAACCATCTAGAACACCTTAGCAACTGTCTAGCAATGCCGTAGCAACCACCTAGAACACCCTAGCAATCGCCTAACAACCACTCAGAACACCTTAGCAACCGCCTAGAACACTTTAGCAACTACCTAGCAACGCCCTAGCAACCACTTATGGCACCCTAGCAACTCTCCCATAGATTTCCATTGTAAAAAAAAAAACTGCCATTGACTACATTGAACATACTAACAACATGCCAATTCGTACTGGAAACATCCTAACAAGCATACTAATAATACTAGCAACATGCTAATACATACTATAAACATACTAGCAGCATGCTAATTTATACTGAATTCATGCTAATTCATGTTACAAACATGCTAATTCCTACTAGAACCGTGGTATTTATGTAAGCAATTGCCTAGCAGCCACTAAGAACACCTTAGCAACCGCCTAACAACATTTTTAACCACCTAGAACCCCCTAGCAACCGCCTAGCAATGCTTTAGCAACCAGCTAGAACACCATGGCAACCACCTAGAACACTCTAGCAATCGCCTACCAACCACTCAGAACTTCTTAGCAATCAGCCTAGCAATCTCTCAGAACACCTTAGCAACCACCTAGAACACCCTAGCAAATATCTAGCAACGCCTTAGCAACCACTCAGAACACCCTGGCAACTGACTAGCAAAACCCTAGCAACCACCTAGAACACCCTAGCAATGCTTTAGCAACCACTCAGAACAACCTAGCAACTGCCTAGCAATACATTAGCAACCACATAAAACACCCTAGCAACACCTTAGCAACTACTCAGAACACCCTATCAACCACATAGCAAGAAACATACCAGTCCATACTAGAAACATGCTAACATATATGTACATATCTGTATGTCAACTGTTTCAAACTTTAAAACGACTTTCAGACAAGGCTTTCTCAAGCCACCATAAAGTTTGTCTACGACCTTTACTTTTCTGCTCTCTTCCCTTTGAAAAAGTTCTGCTTTCGCTAGCGCCCATAAATCATCAGTGCAGACGCATGACTTAAAAAGAGCACACGTTACACATGCACACCCAAAGAGAATGTGAAGGGGAGTTGAGCTGAAAACCCTCCTCGCCAACAGACAGCCGCCCACACAAGGAAGTGGTTATAAGTTTCTAACAGGGAAGGGGAAGTAGTGCATTTTTTGGAGAGAAAAACGACTAAGGAAATAGTTGAGTTCATTCAGAGCAAAGCCAGCGTTTGTGTTGACTGCTCAGAGTCCACGAACCCAGGCTTCTGTCGCAGGCTTTGTCAGCCCCCCCGCCTCTAGCATCTCTGTGTTTTTACGGTTTCCTGGGTAAGTAGAATAACATATGGTTTTGTTTATCTGAATGTAGAAGATCTGGAGCAATCTCTAGTTTTGGAATGTTGGTGACTAACGTGCACTAACATGCAGAATGACACCCAGGAAGAAGTGTGTTTCAGTATTTTTGACATCTGAGGTTTGAAGCCCATCGCTGCACACTTCCTGAGCATAGAGGACCGTTAGTTGTTTTAGGTGATGCAAACTATGATTCGACAGGAGAGCTGTTTTAAGTGTTTTACTTGGTGACTGAGCATCTGGCCTTGTGACATTCCTTTCTGCTCTGGTTTTAATTTA